AGACGTTTGATGTGTTGTTCAACCTTTTGCCGGATGGGCTGGCGATGAGATTCATTGACGGCCCCCCTGGTTCTGGGCATGCAGGGAACTGCCAACGACTCGTCTATCAGCAACTTCTTTCTTGATGGGAGCACTTCCCATTGGCTACCGGATGACAGGAGCGTTGAGGCGGCTTTCGATGAGGAACTAGTGACTCCTTCACTCTTCTTTTGTTCTTCCTCCCGAATCGCTTTCTCCCTTTGTCTCGGACCCATCATTTTCCAGAGTTCCGAAGGAATGCTTCGTGGCCGCTTCGAACCTTTATAGGTTTTCACAAGCCTAACTCCATCATAATGGTAACCGTCCGGCACGATCGACCCGTCGGGCATCATCTCCCCAGGTTCAAGTGGCTCTGCACTGGACTTCTTCATCTCGACGTCGACAGGCGGCTCCTTTTCCTGAGCAGGTGGCTCAATTGGGTCTGGTGCAATGGATGGTGTGTACTCCAAATCGGATTGTTGTGGAATGATCGGATCGGGTACCGGAGGAATAACGCGATCAGCGATTGGCTCTGGAGGTGGCTCAAGGCTGTCTGCTTTGGCTTTCAGCGGAAACACATGGGTTTCAGAGGGCAACTCCAATCGCTTGGTGCGTTGAATAGCAACGCTGCCGTGCTCCAAATGGTAGTCAATGGCTTCAAGCTTCGTGACAAGATACTCCCCTCTCCACACAAAACCAGGCTGAATATGATATCCTAGAAATACCCCTTCATTCGAGGTTGGCGAAAGCTTGCCTGAGGTGTTGTCTGCCCTGTCTGGGTTGTTCCAAAACAACACTTTGGCACCGAAGGGTATGCACATCCCATCGAACTCCGCCCCGAACCTCAGTGACCATGGACTGTCCCCCCTGACAACTGTGGGTTGGCATTGACAGCAATGGCAAAATGCTGCATCGCCATCGGCCACATGCGCAAAGGCATTCCTGCCTGGACAAGGTTGGACCGAGCCCCTTCCAGCATTTGGCGAATCTCGCGTTCCACAAAGGATTTGCTGGAGTCCACGTATTCTATTGATGTTTGATGCCTATAGCCAAGTTCCTTAATGGCGGCTTTCAATTCTCAACTATTATCCGTGTAAATCACCTCAACATCATCCTTTCCGTTGACAAAGTGGTTGATGGCGAAGGTGCAATCTTCGGCGAATCGAGATTGGCTCGGGTACACATAACGGAACTGCGTGTGGATGTCTTTGATAACCAACGCGACCTTCTCACCTTTCATGCCTTCTACGTTTGCTTTGATAAGCACGTGGTCGGCAATGATATGGTCTCCAAACCGAGTTGTGTCAAACCTTGCTTGTCCGCCTTTGGACCTGGCATAAGGTGCTAGCATGCGTGCCCTTTGGCATGTACGACAGAATGGATTCTTTGGGAAGTGAAGAAACTGGTGCTTGGACGACTGGGCTTCGACGATGAGGTCGGCTGATTTTCGGCTCCTCACCGCTACCACTTCTTCATCGTCTGGGTTCACACCTTCATCAATCCCTTCTTCTTCATCCCTAATGGGCTTAGAAACGCCGGGCAAAGCTAAAAGCTTGCGAACCTTGGCTGGCCTGAAGGACTTTGTGCTGACAACAGGACATGAATCATCCAAAATGGGAACATGACCATCAACTTTCAGGACGACTGCTTTGCCATCGGGACGGACAAGGAATGGTGATGACCCTGCCGGCCAGACAAAGCTGTACCCCTGGTCCATGCATCTTGTGCCAACCGAAAGGACCGACGGTGTTTGCTCTAGTATATATGGAGTGATGGGCCCTGGCAGCGTGTTGAGGTCAATCTCAGCAACTGCATTGGATTGCGTCGAACCGTTTGCCGTGATAAAGCTGATCGGTTGATCCGTGCTACGCCTATTGTAAGCTCCGACTTGGGACAACATGGACTCGCTGATCAGGTCCTGCTCACTTCCGGAGTCGATGAGCCATTGATGGCGACCTTTTGGCGCGGGCGTGGCGACGGTTGGTGGCATCAAAACAGTGTTGATCTTGCATGGTGCTAGCAGGTTCCTACAACACTTGCAGGTCAGACTTTCGAGGTCATCAACACAGTTGAAACCACATGATGGTTGAACCGAATTTCCGAACTGCTTCGCCGCCTCTTGCAGTTTTCTAGCTGCCGTTTTGGCATTCAACACATCGATTGGGTCCGATTTCTTTGCTGCTTCGGCAGTAGTGAGGACATTGTCATACTTCCTAGGACCATGGATGACTGGATTGCATCGGCCACGAGCGTTGATTTTCTTCACTCCGACCCTTTTATCGAAGGTGACACGTTTCTCAGTCTGCGCTGCCCTTTCTTTTGTTGGGCTACGATCCGAACCGAGCTTGCGGCGAGTGGCGCTGCATGCATAGCTTGATCGAACACAGGGAGTAGCCGACTTTTTCGGCTTTGGCTCCTTCTTGGGCTTCGGAGAGTTTGGCCGAGCTGGGTCCTTCGGAGCAGCTGCACTCTTCTTTTCATGCAAGTACAGACACTTGTCCCCACGGCGGCAATCCCCACGTGCAAAATAGATACACGGAGTCTTTGCCATCTCCTCTTTATTGAGTTTCTTCTTTGGGTCACGACTGGACGTTCGCGGTGTCCTCTGCCTGGAGGGTGACCTGTCCTTCTTGTCATGACGGTACGGGCAATCTTTTCCCTTGGCACACTTCCCTTTCACGAAGTCTCTACATGGGATCTTCTTCCTGTCGGGAGTTCTTCCCCTTGGGGGTGTTTTCTCCCTCTTGGCTGAGGGCACCACGGGAAGTCCGGCCCGGTCTTTGGGGTTGTTCGGCTTCGGTTGATTCTTATCGACAACGCGATCTCGATTCTCCCTGAGCCTTTCGCGATCGATCAGGTCTCGGATGGCTTTCACAAGAAACGAGTACGTTTTGCTTGGATCACCTTCCTTTGCACGATCATAGGTGTCAATATCGTACTTGAGTAGCGTGCTAGGGCGGATCTGACGGAGCAAAACATCACGAAGGACTGTTTCTTCGGGCTCCTTCTTCATACCGGCCAACACTGCATCCCAACGATTGATAAATTTCTTGAGGTCTGCGATGGTATCCCCAAACTTCGCTACCTTTAAAAGGTCTTCTAGTGAATAGAGGGTACCAGCTTCCTCAGATGTTTTGAAGTAGTCATCAAACATGAGAAGTACTGTCCGACCTCTGGTCTGATGCCCCTTCTTTGCTTGCTCCTCCTTATGGTTAAGGATCCTGTTTCCCAGGTCACCGCGGGCTGACTTTGTGAGAAGCTTCGTGTCCAAGGTCAGGAACTTTCCTGGGTTTTGGAGCTTTGCCTCGAGTTCGACGCGAGAGAGATTCGGATCCCAAACTTCCATAATCCACTCCCATGCTTCGTCGGGCTTGTCGGACGACGATCGGACAAGTTCACGGACCAAATTCTTCCATTGACGGTAAGTCTCAGGCGTGGGCATGTCCGGAATGGCAATCGTATCGGCTTCTTTGACCCTTGGTTTGCCTTCATCGTCTTTCTTGGACTTCATTTCTCTAAGTAACTCTGCAAGACCACTCATCAGCGCGTTGGCTTCGCCAGAAGAAGCCGGGACTTTGCCATCGACTCCTCCATCACCGGCATGAGACAACCGTTCATCGGCAGTTTCACGCGCATCGACGAAGTGATCGTCCTTGCCCTGGGCGTTCTCCACCGCTGCGGGAAGTGGCGCTGTTGCAGGTGCTCTTGATGGATAGAAATCACCGAGTTTTTGAGCGAACCTTGCATCTAGCCTTGCCTTCCAATCGATTTCTATTGGTTGGGGCATGGCCTCACGGCCTGCTGGCTCGGATAACACTGGGGTAGCCGTGCCTGGCAGGTGACGCGGTGCTTCAGCCTCGTGTGCTGGGATCATTCCATCAAGTTGATCTTGAAGTAGTGCGTTGGTTTCGGATGCCTTCCGCAGTTCTTGTTCAAGATATTCTTTCTTTTCAGTCCACTCGGTCTCCATGATTTGGTGCTGCCTGCGTTCTTCTTCGAGGAGTGCTCTAGCTTTGTTGGAAGCATCCTCTACCATCTTGTCGAACATCTTCTCCAGCTCACCCATCTTCTCGTTCATTCTCTGCAAATGAAGCTTCTCTGCTTCTGCCTTCTGCTCCGACATTCTCTTTTGATGCAGGCTGTCTGCACTAGCAACTTTGGCCTGGCTCTCAGCCAGCTGCCCTTCTAGCAAGTTGATCCGGCCCTGCATGGCCAGGACTTGCTTATCACAGACTTCCCTCATCTGATCAATGGCGACTCTGCATTGCGAACCTAAGGTTTGAATGGTAGAGTTCATGATCTCTCGATGCCTCTGTTCCGCTTCAAAACGGACGGCCTCTTCATTTCCCGAAGCAATCTGATGAACATTGTTCTGAATAAACTGGAAATATGCTGTGACGCCTTCAGACCCCATAACAATATCCTCGGGCGCGAGGTTGCCCCCGGCGACCGGTACAGTATCGCCAGAGTATGGGATGAGAGCGAGCGCGGCATTCACACCATCATCTGTAGCCATGGCAGAGGCTACGGCTGATAACCTGTATTTTCAGGCTCAACCACTAAAATACAGTCAAATTCCGCTAAGCTGCAACTGCTTGCGCTCCTTTTTGTCGCGATGAGCTGCGTGCTTGAGCCAAGAATTGGCATGGTGCGTAAAAGCCTAGCTTTAGGTGATGTATTTCAACAGTGTGTCAAATGTGAGGCAGGCGAGTGTGCAGCTATGTGGTCTGCTTAGCCTGGTTGTGCCTGAAGGGACACCAGTGCACTTTACAAACGGTAGTGCTGTGCCCCCAGCAAGGCCCAGGGACACAACACCAACCCTAAAACGGCTCAAGTCCAAAACTTGGTGCTGAGGTATGCAAGCATGCAAATATAACCACATGCAAATCAGAACCCGAAACTAAGGTGTGACCGTGTGTGTGTGTGTGTGGCCTATCACCGTGAACGGGGCATTGCTAGTCAATCCCCTTTGTTACGCTCGCCTGCACACACCGAAGGGCGCATCGGGATCTGCAAGAGGCTTGAAGCTCCTCGGTGCACTTCACCACCAGCGATTCAATCCGTTCAGGCAGCAAGGGTGATTGTCCTCGACAAAACAGAAACTCGCATCGCACAGCTGGATTGTTGACATTGGGCAAGACTATGGATGTATTTTATAGAATAGGTAAACATGCACACAATATATTTCCATATTGGGCCAACAAACCTGTTGCAAAAGAACAAAAAGGACAGCTTTACATTCAACAGAAAGGGTTGAGGGAGATTCGGGCAGGTAGTTCGGGCCTGAGGCATTTCCAGCTGCTGGCGGTGTCTCAACGCCCAACCCATCAAGAAGTCGCTTCTGTGCGGCCTCGCTTCCCATGAAAACCAAAGGGTAAGAACCCCATCACCATCAATTTGTCAGTCATGTTTTGTGCAGCATGGCCCTAGTAGCTTCTTGTTCCTAGTAGTAAGGCCAGGAGCCGCATGGCCCTGCGGAACCCTCAATGAAAGCTCTTGAAGCAGGTTCTTGACATGCCTTCTTCGTTTGAATCACTCACAGCCTCGTCTAAATGCGGCAGGACATGCTCACCCAGTCCATCTGCCAGGCTGTCTCGCAATTGCTCTCGCATCATGGGCAGCAATCGCTGAAATGGCACTGAGAGGCACTCCTAGAAAGGAAATCGCTGCTTTTCCAACAAGGATGCCAAGACTGGGCAAGTGAAGGAAACACACACACACACACCCTTCAGTTGTCAAATCACCTTCTCAGCTGACGCGAAGGAAACACAAATGGGGTGGGAACACACATGGAGTTGTCTCCTCTGCAATTTCGGCTGCGGTAGGCGCAGTGGGAGATCGCATGAGACGGTCCAATATGAAATCGACCCAGGCTCCCACTTTCTCCTGATGCGTTTCTACTCGCGCTTCGACTGTCGGCTCCAAGGCCCGCGGTTCAATGTCCAAACACGTTCGACTGACTGGCCCTTGAAGGTCCTGAGTAGTAGGTGAATCTTTTCCATGCTGCAGCAAAGCGCAAAGGCCTGATACATATGCAAAGAAGTCACCCAGAGAATCTTGGAGAACACAAGTTTGTCTGAGAAGTCACCTGCAAACTGGACAAGGGGTGCTTGTGAAATTATCTGTTACCAGCTAGATGCAGCCAGGCACAAAGGGGTGGATACTAGATTACTAGATAAGATCAGAGTAGGAGGGGCAACAATGGCGCAGATCTGGAGATCAAATGAAAAGTATGGTTGACAGCGCGGGACATGAGGTGCGAGGTCAGCAGAGAGTAAATCATACGAGTTTGGATCTCATGAGGACAAGTAGGATTCTTTCGAATGAGGCTAAACAAATAAGGTGAGAGATGTGGGCAACGGGGTGAGGCAAAATGTGGGGAGAAAACCAAACGAGCTAGGAGAGCACAGCACGAGGGAAAAGTCGAACCAAGGTGGTCACTTTTGACACGTTGCACTCGAGTGCACCCTGCACCCATAGCCGAGTGCTTGCCAACAATCCGTTTCTTAGTAGGTCAAAAAGAAGTAGTCGGACCAATTTAATCTAACCTTGCACAAGAGGGCACATGCTGTCGCCGTACCTCAAAGAAGGAAGGCTTACCATCAAGAATTCCAAAGAAATCTGGCCCTCGAATTGCCGACAAGTGGCAGCCCAAAGGAAACTGTTGTGTCTTGGGGTCGAACTTGTAGAGATTCTTCTCGATCACTCGAAGGAAGTCCCCCTCAGGCCATGGACTTAACAACATCTACGAAAACCATTGAACAAAGTGAGCAAACCATGTGCCTTCTTCTGCTCATCCACGAGCGCTAACGTTTTTTGAAACGGAGCTGAGAAAAACTCCTGCATCATGTCGACCCCATTCCAGCGATGATGGACATGGGCAATTGAACAGCTTTTGCTAAGGGTAAACGCAGCAGTCTGCGCACAGAAATCGATATGTATGCCGTGTACTGTCGGTAAATCAAGTAGTGCATGTCTCGGCTTTGCATTTGACATACTTAACAAGGTCTTCCCGCTCGCGCAGCCCCATGGCAGTCCCTGAAGAGCTGACGATGGGTTGTGGTGGTTCCTTGGCCTCAGCTGCATTCTCTCATACTGTATCTGCATGATGCTCCACAGAATTGTCACGTGTGTTAAGAAACCTTTGTACAAATAGAGAAGTAAAATAGCTGTCTCTTGACCATTCTTGACTTGACAAGTGTCGCTCTGCGACCCAGGACCATTCCACCAGTGAGTCCAGTTTGTTTGAAAGCGACTTCAGCCATGAGGAGGCAAAATGATGGTTCATGGCATCGTGGCATTGGCGAAGGCGGAAACCGAGCGAAGGCAGAAACCAGCCCGGAAACAACAGCTGTGCTGACGGTAGTGATGGCTGAACTCTACAGCAAAGCCAATGAGAACTGCAAAAAGAACTTATGACGTCGTGAATTGGCTCAATAAGTCTGCTGCATGGAAGGAGTGTTTGCTGCACCTGGGCGAATATCTTGCATTTTTGCATGGCTAGCATAATTGGCACACCTGAGAAGTTCATATTCCATGTGATTGTTTGAGTGTTTGAGCTTCTATTGCGGCAGCTGCTGTGACATCGTGCACACCCTTGGTGAAAGGGTTGATGTGCAATGCAACCTGGACTGATAGTAGGTCGCAAGTTCAAGTATGTTCTTGTGCCTTCTCTTGCCCAAACCTCCGGTCCACACAACGATCGACAGCTCTAGGGTTGAAAATTAGAAGCACATTGGTTGGTCCAAAATTTGGGGGGGAAACACCAACGAGACATAACAAGACTTGAAACACCTTACAGCCTTCTCGATGATATGATCCAATTGCACAATGCACTGAGTTGTGCGTCATACTTACAGTAATACATCACAAACAATTTATCCATCAGCCATCAAGCTCTGAATTTCATCTTCGACAATTCAACTGGCCACACGGCTGGAACGTTCATTGAGGATCAAAAGTCAGCAGCAGTGCATACAGCACAAACTCCCGCAAAAGAGTTTGTGCCACACGCTGTATTTGGGAACCAGATCTGGACGACAGGTGGCCCTAAAGGAGGAAATGTGTATCTGTGTGAGGTGCAACTCGCGTTCTTGCCTGCTTGCATAACATATGCACATCCAAAAATAGAGTCAGCAGGCTCAAATTGATGGGAAGAGCTTTAAACCCAAACACGGAATGAAAACGTCCACTTCACCCGGCAGCTGACGGACCACCATTTCACCGTGAGTGATACACTCTTTACCAAGCATGAGATGCTGACCACTCCACCACCGGGAGATGCTGACAGCACCATTCGTCACCAAAGGTGCAACAAAACCGTGACCAATGGAGGACTAACCTTCCATTGTCTCACCATTGTCTCACCATTCATTCAGAACCCTTCCAATTCGCAGAAGATACCCCGTCGCGTTGGGGTCGTGGAGTGGTAGTTAGTCATTAGTGATCTTTTGTCAGCTTTTAGCTAGTGCGGCTTGCTTGAGAAGGTTTGAAAAGAGAGCGCTTGATAAATGGCTGTCGGCCCCAATGAGACAACAGCACATCCATCTTTGACCACGATTCAACCGCAGGTCCTCTGCAACTAAAACTTGGTTTAAGGCAGTCTCAAGTTTTCCAAAAATTGGGCGCCCTTTTCCAAGGTTCCGGAGTTTGGGGGCATGCAAAAGACTCCGAAGTGTCCCAAACTATGGACGTGTCTCCCAACCACACCTTCGTCCACAGTCCCTTGAGGAGCTTCTGGTGCTCCAGTTTGAAAGCAATTGCCCTCATAGTCCGTAAAGGCAAAACAAACGTATTTCATCAATACACTATTTGATGTGTGTGCATTGAATTCATATGTACATTGAATTCATATAATATATATAACTATATATATATACATGCGCTCATTAGTACAAATGCGTAAAACATGTTTATATTGAATATGTTGAGGAAAAAACGCGCTAAACTCTAAACCAAGTGAGGCATCGTATACATTCTATACTATAATTATGTATACATATATATATATAACTATATAATGGTATATGTATTAATACTCGGTGATTTTCTATAAAATCAATTAGGATTTGACTCATTATCAAAACTCCAAGAAGAGCAAGGACAAGCAATGATCTCCTCAACCGCGCATCTGCGCTTCTGTGCATCATGAGAAGTGGTATCCGTGGGTCAGGCTGCCAGTCCTGGCTGCTGTATAAAGCTTCGAGATGCTCAGCATTGGCGGGAGAGCACCTGGGTGAACGAAAGCCATGTGTGATAAACCGACATGGGAAATGCGACGTCGCAAGAATCTCTGGCCTTTGTGGCTCTGCTTCTTTGGCAGTCCGTGGTGCTTTCGTTTCATGAGCGTGCGATCTTCACCTTGCCAGCCACAAGTTGAGGAATAGCATGGATTAGCTATTCGCAGTGATGAACGAATGGTGTTCTTCAAAGTGCAAGAGCCTTGGACCACGAGGCGTTGCTTCGTGTTCTGTTCCAGTTGCTTGGTCGTCTCTTCCAACTGTGCCTTTGCCTTCTGCAAAAGCACCTGCCTTAGAGGCAGGGCGAGGCCCCTGTTTCCTTGACGGCTGACTTTCCACTTAATGAGGCAATGGTCACATGCAAACTCAGTTCTTGGAACCAAGAGCGGCTAAATGCAACGAAATGCAAGTCATCTGGCACTTCTTCCACACTTTCCAGCCATGAGAGCAGGAATCTTGGAGGACAGCGGCCCGGATCCTTCAACAGGTTGCTGGCCTTGCTAAAGCCTCGTCAAGAGTCACAAAAAATCATACAGGTTTGGATGCTCGGGATGTTTACAGTAGGTGAAAATGTAGGAAGTATCCAAAATGAAGAGGATGGTGGCTGTCTGACAAGCTGCTGTCCCAAGACTTGCTGAAGGCCTCTTGTCTTTGCAGCGCTTTAACTTTGGAAACCTTCTCACAAATAAAGCTCAATTGGTGACATGATTTCCCTCTCTCTATCTCTAGCACATTGTAGCATTGTAGCACATGGGGTTTTGCGAGCATTTTAGGCAGAGATTGCCTTCAGTTCATCTGGATCCAAGCTGCCAAAACTGATGACCATGATTGTCCCTCAAAGGGAATGTTCGTCCAAGTCGCCAAACGCAGTTGAAGCTGATCAACCATTTCCTCCTCCGGATCAAGCTTTTGGCCACAACAGTGGCTTTTGGCACAACGACGGCAAAGCCATGAGACGCGTCCTGGGCCAAATGTGGTGGTGGCTTAGAGCCGAAAAAATGAATGGCACTTTGGACCGAACGTCCTTCCACTTGCACACAATTCCGGCCACCCTTCCATCCATTGTGTCCTCGGAACAGAAAACCTTCAGTGTACTTGGATGGTGTGTTGTGACATTTTCATTGTGACACTCATGGCACGTCTATTGCCCATTTGTCAAGCATCTGCAGCTCATGCAGCGTCTCCACTCCTTGCAAATGCTATGCCAAAGGGCAGGCCTAAAGAAACAGCCCAGCTGACCCGCCAACCAGCCGACCACTCGCCTTGGTTCCAGCTTCTCCGGGCCTAGGTGTCAGATTAGCGTCCGTTGACGTCAATCGAACCAAGGTGTGGGCCAACCCAAGCTTCACCGAGCTGCCACCACGGCCGGGTCCAAATTTTAGAGTTCGCTCCTTCGTGGCTGAAGGCAGCAGAAGGATCAAAGCATTCAAACCAGGCATTGGTTGGTCCAGGGCATTAATAGTAACATCTTCTGACTGGGAACTTTAAAACTGACGAAGTGTCGCCCGGTGGCCGATCCTGAAGTAATGATTTTGGCACTTGGAGTTGTGACCGGGCAATGACCTGAGTCCAACGCAACAAACCTCAAAACACTCTGTTTTGGATTGTGCGTGTTGTATGTTGATATATGATATATGCGTGAGTGTCCGTGCGTGTGTGTCCTACCCTGTTCCCAAGGGTTTCCACTCCACGAACCACGTTCCTACACATTGCAAGCAGGGGGCTAGCGGCCCATTTCTCGACGCTAGCCTACGAAGCTAGGGAAATGGGTGGATGAGCCTGTGGACGCACAGACTCGTACCTGCCAGGCAACTGTTGTTCACGCTGTCCACTTTTTTTGGTTTTGCTTCCATGGCCGTTCTCATAATACCTCCGCCTCCCATTCAAAGCAACTGGTTTCCCTCCGCCACTTTCCGCTGCCGCGTTCTGCAGACTCGCAAACACTGTGTTAAACAATTCAGTTGCGCTGACCGCTTTACCTTGCGTTTCCCATGTTCATGTGACTGTGGATTATGGAAACTGCAAACCCTGTGACTAAGTGTGTTTTCGCTGTGTCTTCCCACTGGGTACACAGTGTGATCCTCTCGCAAGAGAGGCGCAGAAGCCACCGTGGATCACATTTTGATTTCAGCGTTCTTTCACTCGTGGATTATGATTCACTGAATTGACGTCTCACCCATGAATCAACCGGCATGAAAGCTGCCGAGCCTATGGTTTCAATGCTGCCGAGCTTACGGTTCAAGCGACTTTTTCACACCATTTGTTCTCCATGACATGTACTTCCATTTCAATTTTCAACTGTGAACCCCCACGTTTGTACAGAGACTTTTCACTTTCAACTCGCCCACGCTATGAAGTTTTCAGACTTCAGCTGCATAGCTGTGTACGCCACAAATATCTTTCTCTCTTGCCCTTTTCTTTTTGCTCTTTCTGTTCTTCTTTCTTTTTCTAAGGCTTGGCTATTCAGGTTTCTGACCCTTTAATTTGCCGTTCATTCGGCACTTTTGCTCGACAAATGTACACGTCACTACACCTATCTTTCTCTCTTGCCCTTTCCTTTTTGTTCTTTTTGTCTTTCTTTCCAATTTTCTAAGGCTTGTTCGGTGGCTATTCTATTCAGGTCGTGGCGATAGTTTCACCCACTCGTGCGGAGCAGCTGACCTAACGCGCTGCCGCTACCTGCAGCTGCTGAAGACAACAACAGCGATTTTTTCAACACCGCGCCAATGCAATACGCCTGGCCATACCCACAATCCTTCCACCAGCCTGTTTCGCCACAGGCCACCATGCCAATGCCACATCTGCCACCTCAACATTTTGCACTACAATCACAAGCCTTTCCCACTGTCCAACACATTCAACCTGTCTGGCAACCCCCAGTTGCCGCCCTCTCCTCTCCTCTC